CTCTCTTTCGTAGTCTGCTGATGCAGTGAAGTCAGGTAGCGAGAGGGTGAGAGGGAGATGGTGGACTGAGAAGAGGAAGAAGGAGAACTCTCTCTCTCTCTCATGTGCCAGGTACTAACCTGTGAAGATGGCGCTGTGCTGCAGGTACCTCGAGGACGAAGCTGGAGCTACGGCGCTGCAGGTAAGTCTCCCTGACCTCCGCCCAATCTCTCTCTCTCTCTCCAGTACTACTCTAGCTCCTACTAGCGCCCAGCGCTGAAGACTGCTAACGCTACTACTACTACTGCAGCGCTCCTACAGAGTGCTGCTGCCGAATCCTGAAGACTACCTCCTGCCTCCTGAACTGCAAGTGAAGTCTCTGGGAAGTCCCTATGCACTACCTGCAGCCTGCAGGGCGGGCCAGTCCTATACAGTGCTGGCCCGTCCAGGAGGCTGCTCTTGCCAATGCCAAAACATGCCAGACTGAAGCTCAAACGAAGGTTGTCTTGAAAACAGGCCGAAAATGGCCTGTGCTAAAACCCTGGTCTGGTGCCTACGTTTCAGGGCAGGTCGATCTTATGAGGGCCTGAAAATGGCCCTCCGTTTCAGGCTGAAAAGACTCAGGGCCTGGAGGGCCCTGTTTTAGGCTGAAACAACACAGGGCCTGTAGGCCCTTGTTTTCAGGATTTCAGGTGAAACGACACAGGGCCTGTAGGCCCTTGTTTTCAGGCTTTAAGGCTGAAAACGACAAGGGCCTGAAAATGGCCCGTGCAGCCTGTCGCAGGCGCAGCATGTCACACCCGCCCCTCCTTATGAAGTCAAGCCGGGTCGAGGGCGAAGCTGGCGATTTGAAGGTGGAACCTGGACGCGGGTGCGACGTGGAGCCGAAGATACCGACTTGCCTTGCATCTTGCGTTCGTAGCGTGCGAGAACATCTGGAGCTGTTGCTTGGAGTTCTGCACGGGTCAACCAACGGTCGGCTTTGTGGGTGCAGTACGCAAAGTGTACCAAGTATTCAGTCAGTCTGTTGTCGTAGCGTCGCTAGGAGATGATGTCGCCGACCTCTTGAAAACCGTCCATAGAGGGCGGGTCTTGCGATCGTTGCCCAAGAAAATCGTCATGTTCTGCTGGCCTATAAAGAGCCAACTTGGAGCAATGAAAGATCGGGTAGACGGGCAAGTGGGGCGGGCACCTGAATAATGAAGGAAGGTCCTCCGGGCGCATCCCCAGCGGGTGCCACAATCGGCCAGGGCCCCATCCATTTCGGCAGGAGCTTGCGAGAAATATCTTGTTCGAGGCTGAACTCCGCGGCGGAAACCCAAACGAGATCGCCGACGTGGAATGGGCAAGGAAGACGCTGGTGATCAGCCTGTTGGCTTATGCGTTGTTGCGTCTTAGCCATCTGGTCGCATGCCTTGACAAGTAGCTCTTGCATCTGACGCAAGAAAAGAAGATGGTCGTCGCTCTCGGACGCTCGTGGAATGATTGTGTCCAACGAAGAAGTGACCGGCGAGCCGTGCTCGAACTCGAAATGCGATATCCCGATAGCCGGGTGGATGGACGAGTTGTATGCCAACTCGACATCCAACAGCCGCTCAACCCAATCCTTTTGGTCAGGATGGATGAGAGTGCGAAGGAGAACCTATGCGGTCTGATGCGCCCTCTCTGTTTGGCCATCGGTTTGGGGGTGGCGAGCCGAACTTGGCTTGAGAGATGAGCCCCATCGTTTGATGAGCGCCAACCAAAAATCGAACATGAACCGAGTATCGCGGTCGCAGACAATTTCCTTGGGGTAACCCTTGGTTCGAATCCAACCGGCGTAAAGAACCTCGGCCAACTTCGGTGCCTTGGCATGATAGCGGCAAGGCAAAAACATGGTGAACTTGGTGAGTCAGTCGACCACCGTGAGAATCCCATCCACACCGGTCTTGTGCTTGGGGAACGGCCCGGTAATGTCCATGGCAATCGCTTCCCTTCGGCGCAAGGGGACCTGTAATGGTCGCAACTCGCCGTACAGACGATGGTAGTGGGATTTGCAGCGTCAGCAAACCTCGCATGAGTCGCAATAGTGTGTGACGTCGCCGAGAAGGCCGAGCCACCAAAATCGCTTGCAAAGTCGGCCAATCGTACGATTGACTCCAAAGTGTCCGAAGGCGAGAGCATCGTGGAACTCGCCAAGAAGCCGTGTACGCAAGTGAGAGTCACTCGGTATGCAAAGAAGGTCCTTCCCCCTCGTGTGGACAAGCAAGTACCCCTCTTGGATCCGGTAGTGAGAACGCGCCAGATTAGGAGAGGAGCAATTCGTGTACTTGTCGCGAAACTCGGGGTCGGCTTGATAGCCGCAGATGAAGGTGTCCCACAGGTCGTCGTCGATCTTGAAGGTCGAATAGACTGCGGTACAATGATCCGGATGTCGTGAAAGAGCATCCGCAAAACGGTTAGACTTCCTCAAAATGTGATCGGGAAAGAAGTCGAATTGGTCGATGAAATCCATCCAACGGGCGATGGTGCTATTGACGGTGTTTTGGGTCTTGTAGAAGACCAACGGATTGTTGTCCGTTACCCATCAAATTGACTTCGACCAAGGAGGAAGTGCCGCCACCGCTTGAGCACGTGGACGAAGGCTAGGAGTTGTTCGAGGACGGCACCAATGCCATAGCTGGACGCATTCGTAGTGACACGTGTTGGCAATAGTGGGTCGTATATGCGCAAGACCTCTGCAGATAATAGCGCGGCTTTGAGAGCCAAAAATGATTCCCGCGCATCCTCTCCGAAGTCAATCGGTCGATCCTCGCGTTGAAGCTTGGTCAAGTGGGCCGCGATCTTCGAGTATCCCTTGATAAAACGTTGGTAGTAGCCGGCACGGCCAAGGAACGAACGAACATTCGTGACGTTCCGCAACTTCGGCCACTCTTGGATGACTTGAATCTTGTCCGGCAACGGACTGATGCCCTCCGGTGTGACAAAATGGACCAAGTATTCCAGCTCTTGTCGGGCAAATTCGCACTTGTCGCCATTGGCTTTGTACTTGGCACGGCGCAACGTCTCCAACACTGGTCGAAGGTCCTCAAGATGATCCTCCAATGTCCGACTATAGACGAGAATATCGTCTAAGTAGACCAGCATGAACCGGTCCAACATCGCACGGAACTCGCTGGTCATTGCCGCTTGAAAGGTCGTCGGGGCGTTGGTGAGACCAAAAGGCATGACCACCCACTCAAAATGCCCATATCGTGTCTTGAACGTGGATTTATAGCGATGGTTCGGTCGGATCGAAATCTGATGGTATCCTGATTTCAGATCCACCTTAGAAAAGTACTCCGCGCCACCCAATCGCTCAAGGAGATCGTCAATACGAGGAAGAGGCCCCACATTCTTGACGGTTTGCACGTTGAGCTTGCGGTAGTCGATGCACAATCGTAGATCCTTGTTTTTCTTCTATACGAAGAGAACTCACGCTCCATATGGGGAGCTACTAGGGCGGATCCAGCCCTTGTCCAACAAGTCATCGAGTTGCGCGCGGAGGACCGTAAGCTCCTCCTCGCTCATGCAGTAAATTGCAACCTTTCGGCGGTATGACACCGGCCTCAAGAATGATCTCGTGAGAGATCGGTCAAACCGGCACCACACAGGTAGGTGACTCGAAGATGTCGGTGAACTCGTCAAGCAACTGCACCACGCGGGGGTCCGAAGACAGGTCTGTGGGTGAAGAGTCGGTTACCGTGACGGTCCGTCGAAAGCATAGGCCTATCTTGTCGGGCTGCTCGTAAGCGCAAGTAGCCCTGAACGACTTGGTCGTCACCACTTGGCACCGAATCGAAGTGTGCGGAAGAGGAATAGTACACGGCACTTCGGCAAAGGCATCCCGAACGGTAAGAGTCCACTGGTGGAAGTTGACCATGTGATCCGCACTTGCAAGCCAAGGGATTCCCAAAATAATGTCGAAGTCCGTGTCCAAAATGTCGAGCGGCACCGGTTCGCATGCATGAGGTGCGAAATACATCGGTACGGCCTCAATGTAGCAGTCGACAAGTTGTTGCATCCTTCCGTCGTCGGGTTTGCCTTCCTCCGAACTTGTGCACCAAGGCCAGCCCTTTGCATAAAGGCTTGGCTCATGAAATTGCGAGACACGCCGCTATCCAACAAAGTGCTGCAGGACGTTTGCCCAACTCGGATGCGGACATAGAGGAGCGGTGGGTTGTTGTCATAGTACCACTGCTTGCGAAACTCGCGGGCCACCTTGGTAACATATGCAAGGATGTCCCCCACCGCAGCTTCGTCCTCCGTCGGTGAAGTTGGTGGTGCATAGAAGGATAGATACGTGTGAAGATGAGCGCATAATGCTACGCATTGCGGTCCTGGCAAACGGCCCGTGGTCGGGAGAGGAAGCCATGCGAAATCCTCGGACGCGAGGGGGTCCAATACCTCTATGCTCAACTCACGCACCGAATCCCGTGAAGAACCACTTGAAGACGATAAGTTGCCGCTGTCGGACGGGGAAGATGCCGCACACACGTCTTGTCCTTGAGCATGAGTTCCCAACGTAGGAACAAGTCGGGCAGCATAGTCCTCATAAGAATATAGAAGAGGAGGACTAACGACTTCCGCATGTGCCTCGGAATGAAGGGCGGTCACCCTCAAAGCGACCAGTTCCGAGGGCGTCGAGAGAGTCGTCGATTCACTCCCAGCGGTGCTCAGTTTCCCGATTTGCGTTTGCCTTTCAACGGGCAACCCACTATGTCGTGGGGATCGTTGTTACACCACAGACAATAGTGGAATCTTGTGCGTTGCTTGTATGCTTGCTAGGAGAGACCGTAGTGGGACAATGGGGCTGGAGCTGCTGCGCCGGACCGAGGATAAATGTGGTGTTTGTCTTCGGCTTGCCGCGTCCTCGGCCTTTGCTGGGGCGGTCACCATCCCGGGCGGCTGCGAGTATGTCCCCTTCATTGGCAGACACGACCTCGCTAGATTGGTCGGTTGGCGTTGCTGCCGCTACCACGGCCACTTTCGGTCGATGCTGATCTCTGATCGGGCCTGCCGCGAATGAACGGTTGAGATTCTTGGCCTCATTGTTTGTGACAATGACCTATACGGCCTTGTCGAAGAGCTCCGTCGTTGTCGTCAGGGTGTCCTCGGCGTGAGTCAAGGCGTTGCCCAACGTCAGACACGACCTCGAGATGAAGTAGTGTTTGACGACCTTGAAGCCCATCTGAATGTCTGGGACGGATGCCAAGTGTTGGTACTTGGCAATCCAGTCAACACTCGGCAGCGTACCTTGTTCAAAGGTCATCAATTTGTTCATTGCCTTGATCTCCAGCGGCTCTACTTGGAACCGCTTATGCCACACCGCCTTTAGATCATCCCAACTGATCTTGGTGTACAAGTCGGCAGCTACCACCCCGTACTTGGACAAGAGATTGTCCAACCATGCTTGGCATGCGCCCCCCTAGCGGGAGTATAAGTACGCGTGATGCTTGTCCTCGCGGATGTGGTGCAGCTGCAACTTGAGCTCGAATTTGCGGAACCACGGAATCGGGTCCATTTTCGTCGAATCGCAGAAGATCTCCTGATCATCGAACCTTGGGTTCGTCTCGCGTGGTGCCGAACTCGGGTTGGCGGCGGCAGCACAGATCCGTTGATCCAATTGTTGCGTGGCGGTTTGTTGTCGCTGCGTGTCGTCCTTGAGGGCTCCAATGTCGATCTCCAATGCATCGAGGCAATCGGAGGTGTTGGAGGAGCTGGCATCAGGGGCGGCGACGGGTCGTTGCTCCAACTGCTGGAGGCGGCTATTGAGTTGAGCTAACGCCTGGTTGTGCGTCTGATCCGCGTCGTCGAGGCTGTGGATGTCCTCCTGCTGTGCAATGCACGTTGCCAAGAGATCCGTGAAATGGGAGAGGAGGAGAGCGATCTTGCTTTCACTCTCTTCCATCTTATCATTCTCAGCCTCGGCTCATCAGTCCGCTGCCATTGTGAGCAAAGCTCGCTCTCCGTTGAATATCTTCTCGCGTCGTTGATTTCGTTCTTCATCGGCAACCTTTGTTGCTGCCTCGTCTTGCTGGCGCTGGTTTTCAATTGCCAACAGACATGCCTTCTCGGCGTCCTGGGGCTTCTTTTTCTCTGCGGCTGCTACCTCATCCGCCCGTTTCTTGGCTTCCGTAAACAAAGCCATCATCCGGGCCTAATAGGCCTCGGCCGTTTCCACGGGTTTTTTATCCACGTCGGCTGTTTGTAAGCGCGTGAGCATAGATCAGGCCGGAGGACTGCCGACGTGGCACTCCCTGCTGCTAACGTGGCACTGCTCGGCTGCTGACGTGGCACGACTATCGGATGACGTGGCCTGCTGATGTGGTCTGCTGACATGGCCTGCTGACGTAGTCTGCTGATGTGGCCTGCTGACGTGGTCTGCTGACGTGGTCTGCTGATGTGGCCTGTTGAAGTGGTCTGTTGACGTGGCCTGCTGACGTGGCAACTCACCAATATCGCCGCAGGGGGTACTCGGCAACAGATAGAGAAGACCAGAGGGGGCAACAACATAGGTGGGGAGGGGTGGGTGGGATAAATCGCCCAGATAAGGAGCCACAAATAAAAAAGAAAAGTTTGAACTTTGCAAAAAAATTCGAGAGAGAAAAAAAATACTCGTTTGCAAGTTCAATAGGCCTCCCAATTCCCCCTGAAGTGCGAAATTAGCAATGAGGAAAAATTTTCGAACTTTCAGACTGCAAATGATTATCTGATAAAAGAATTCCGAAAATAAAATACAAAAAAAAAAATCGGAACTACTTAGATGAGAGTACGTGCAGTTTGGAAAATGATAATTGCAAGAGGGATTTCCAGTACCGTTTAAAAAAAAATAAAAAAATCTGGAAATTAAAAAAAAAAAAATTCCGGATTTCCAGATAACCGGATATTGCAAAACGAAATCAAAAATTTTGAAAAATATTCTGGATTTCCAACAATGAAATTTCGAATGTTTAAAAAACGAAAACAAAAATTTGAGGTGTTGCGCTATTGCGATCTTCCACAACAGAAATAGCGGGAAAACAAAATCCAAGAAACGAAAAAAAATTCGATTTTCGGTAGTTAGGTCAAAATCACGATTTTGGGGGCTAATTAGTGTGCTCTAATCAATCAATCAATCAATCAATCAATCAAGACTAATCAACTAATTAGTCCCCGCGCACGTGCTGGATCAGGTTGTCCTGATTCACGTGCGGTGTTCCGATATCAACTGTTACATGCCCAGTTGGGCAATGTATGTAAAGCCAAGGATCCGCAATGTGATAGATAAAAAGGATTGAATGGACAATGCGATATTAGTGGAATC